TGTTTGAACTTGTTATCAGTATAAAAGACACCTGTCCACAACCTCAAACAGTCACACTCCAAACTCCACTATGGCCAAGACCAAAGAGCTGTCAAAGGACACCAGAAACAAAATTGTAGACCTGCACCAGGCTGGGAAGACTGAATCTGCAATAGGTAAGCAGCTTGGTTTGAAGAAATCAACTGTGGGAGCAATTATTAGGAAATGGAAGACATACAAGACCACTGATAATCTCCCTCGATCTGGGGCTCCACGCAAGATCTCACCCCATGGGGTCAAAATGATCACAAGAACGGTGAGCAAAAATCCCAGAACCACACAGGGGGACCTAGTGAATGACCTGCAGAGAGCTGGGACCAAAGTAACAAAGCCTACCATCAGTAACACACTACGCCGCCAGGGACTCAAATCCTGCAGTGCCAGACGTGTCCCCCTGCTTAAGCCAGTACATGTCCAGGCCCATCTGAAGTTTGCTAGAGTGCATTTGGATGATCCAGAAGAGGATTGGGAGAATGTCATATGGTCAGATGAAACCAAAATAGAACTTTTTGGTAAAAACTCAACTCGTCGTGTTTGGAGGACAAAGAATGCTGAGTTGCATCCAAAGAACACCATACCTACTGTGAAGCATGGGGGTGGAAACATCATGCTTTGGGGCTGTTTTTCTGCAAAGGGACCAGGACGACTGATCCGTGTAATGGAAATAATGAATGGGGCCATGTATCGTGAGATTTTGAGTGAAAACCTCCTTCCATCAGCAAGGGCATTGAAGATGAAACGTGGCTGGGTCTTTCAGCATGACAATGATCCCAAACACACCGCCCGGGCAACGAAGGAGTGGCTTCGTAAGAAGCATTTCAAGGTCCTGGAGTGGCCTAGCCAGTCTCCAGATCTCAACCCCATAGAAAATCTTTGGAGGGAGTTGAAAGTCCGTGTTGCCCAGCGACAGCCCCAAAACATCACTGCTCTAGAGGAGATCTGCATGGAGGAATGGGCCAAAATACCAGCAACAGTGTGTGAAAACCTTGTGAAGACTTACAGAAAACGTTTGACCTGTGTCATTGCCAACAAAGGGTATATAACAAAGTATTGAGAAACTTTTGTTATTGACCAAATACTTATTTTCCACCATAATTTGCAAATAAATTCATTAAAAATCCTACAATGTGATTTTCTGGATTTTTTTTCCTCATTTTGTCTGTCATAGTTGACGTGTACCTATGATGAAAATTACAGGCCTCTCTCATCTTTTTAAGTGGGAGAACTTGCACAATTGGTGGCTGACTAAATACTTTTTTTCCCCACTGTATTATACTTGTTGGTAATGAATGTGTAGAGGAATGCTACGATGCAGGAATGCTGCGAAGCAGCAGAAAGATCAGCGTACACCAAATTGAAAGTACTAAGTGAACATGTGAAATGTAATCATATTATATTTGATTGAAGATTTTTTATACTATTTTAGCTGAACAGCGTACCACTTACTTTAACTTGAACTTAAAACACGTGAAATTTGCAGTGTCATGTGAACATGTTTTTCTTTCACCTCACATGTGAATTGCAGATTCACATGTGAAATTCTAATTCTCACATTTGGAATTGCATTTTCACATGTGAAAAACTTGTACATGTGAAAATCTAACTCACACGTGGAATTGCTTTTTCACATGTAAAAAACGTTGTTAAAATGTAGATCTCCATGTTGTCACATTTATTTCACATGGCATCATGTTTTCACATGTGTAGTTTCATGTTATCACACTTTTACATGTCACATGTTATTATATTAACTTCACTTAATATCACATGTGAAACACATGTTATCACGTGAAATTCATGTGGTTTTTCTGTAAGAGACACACACATGCGCACCCTAAGAGCTACTAGATGATCCGCAGAGAAAACTTAGGAGGATCGTATGTTTGATGTGTGTGTCCTTCACTACTTCAAAATGACTATTCCCCCTTTCCCCCCTTCGACAGCATCAAGCAGACAGCACGGCTGACTTTCAAGAATTTCCACAAGCGACTGCTTTCTGGAACTAAACGGGTGAGGCAAATCCTCTTAAAATCCTTTTAAACACCATGGCAGGAGGGAAAAAATTAAAGTTTTCTCCCAGGCTAACATGAGCAGGTTGTTTGGCTGATGTTGTTCGGGAAAGGAAGGACACTTTGCTTGTCTATTCCTTCAAGGCATGGAAGGGAATATTAATAGTACATAGCCCATTTAAAGGCCCACAAGAGCTTGACTTTTGGTCATGTAGTGTATGTCAGCCAATTGTAACTCAAAAAAACGTATAGGTTATATCATTCTGAAACTGGTTCCGGCTGCTCACCTCACGTGTGCCTGCTGCTGAGGAGAGAGAGCATGTAAAATGAGCCTTGGCCTAGGCTACTGTTGATTGCGAAGATGGAGTCCTTTTTCATTTAAGTAAAAACGAAAGTTAGAGGAGAAGGAGTATAGTGAAAAGAAACCGACAAATGAAATGTCCTCAGGGACAAGTTTTAATATTGTAGTGGACAAAGATGAGAAGAATGTTGGCACGGCCAAATGGACTGTGTGCAACTCGCTATTCAGGTTTGATGCAATTTTTTATTTATTTATTATTATTGTAAATCATCATTATTATTGTAGCCCTATTTAATCATCTAAACCAGTGCTTTAAATAGCCTATGCAAAAAGTGTTTCGTTTCATTTTGTTGAGACACTTTCGTTGGCTAAATTAAGTTCTGTCTTTAATTTTGTGCTCCGTATCTAGTTTAAGGTTAAAAGTAGGCCTGTTGTAAAATAAATAGCCTAGCATTAGCCTATTGTTGTCATTTGTTGGGTAGGCCTATACGGTAGGCAATCACCTTCGTTGGTAATTCATTTAATGCCGCAATATGATAACCTGTTTGTATTTTCCCTATAAACAATGACTTGACTTACTTTTGATATTACCCTAATAAAGTTAATCATCTTTTGTGAAGGTTTGGTGTGGTATGGCTATTATTAGGCTTAGCTACTGCAGGCCTATGAAAGCAGTGCACACCGGCGCTCCAACTGACTCCGACAGCTGAACTTGAGGTGAGAAAGAATGTTTTAGGCCTATCAGAGTTACTCCTTTAATATAACAATACAATTCCTTATCTTAATAACATTTAAGGAATTAGCCTCCTTCTTTATGCCTATATATGAATAGCAGTAGTAGCCTATCTGACAAGTATAAAGAAATCCATGTCAACGTCGGGAACATGGCGCTGGCATATCTCTATCTTTCTCGGTCTCTCTAGGGCTAGGCATCTCCTTTAATATATATATATTTTTTTATATTAATATCATATAGTGGACATCTAGGCCTATAGGCCTACATGCATGCAATGCCCTGATGGATTAATCGCTAAAATCTCTGATAGCTGAACCGTGAGGTAGACAACTATTGTTTCTGGAAAGTCAAAACCAATAAAACAAGAGACTAACTTTTTTAATGCTTCACATCGAAACACAACTAAACCTTTTTTTGTAATTTGTTATAGGCAGTTTGTAAGGACACGTAACTGTGGATCATTTGGCCAATATGCTTGTTTATTGATGGCGCTGGTGGCACCCAGTTGGAGGGTTTCTTTCTCTCTCTCTCGGATCTGAATGGGTCTCTCGGATCCCAACCAGCACAAGTCTGTTTGGGTCTGTTTTCAGCTGCCCTTTTCAGAACGGGTCTGACTGTCCTCGGGTCCATTCAGAATGGGTCTCCGTTAAAAAAAGTATAATTTATGCATATCGTGTCGGGTGGGAAAGCCACGGATCCATTTCAGAACGGACCAAACTTTATGGACCCATTAAGACCTCTAGTACACACTACATACACACTCAGACTACATTGCATACACCATACACACAAATACCGTGTATAAACAGAAACACGCATGCACACGCACCCACACATGCATAGCTACAGGTATCTGTATGTATTTTTTTGACATTGATGAACAATGTATGAACTATTTGTCTTAAATGTATAGAATAAATATTGTTCATTATTACAGCCTACAACAAAATAATGATACTGTTGTCCTAGGTTGCCTAGATTTGTGCGATTATAAACATGTCTGAAGTGAAAATAACATTCACTGCTTATGATTGAATTAGCTAGAAAATGTTTCCCTGGTAGTATTACCTTCGATATATTTTGTTTATGTCCAAAATGGCACCATATTCCCTATATTGTGCACTACTTCTGTTGAGGGCCTGTGCATTATCTAGGGAATAGGGTGCCATTTTGGACACAGCCTTAAATGCTGAATTGAAGGTTAAAATGTCCAACCACGCAATCCAGCCCTGAATGACTTTGGGGTCTAAAATGGAAAAGTTCCTAAAAAACTTGTTTGCCTGGTCTGATTGCTGTTTACATATTTGAGTAAATGAGCGCGGGATTGGGTCAGTGGTTTGTTTGTCGATTTGCTCTTTGCTTTTCGATCTCCTTTGGGCAAGAGATTGAATTAATGTTTGTAGATGCTACACCTGGGGAACAAGAGATTGTGCAAAATTACAATACTCGACCAATTATAGCTCTAGAAACAAACACACGCAAAATAGAAAAGCTCATTTTGGGAGCCGTTCAGTTTTCTCGTGTCAGAGGCACAAGGACAATAATTTGTTTCATTTATATCCCTTTCCGTTTGAATAGATCACTGAGCAGATTTTGTTTACCCGCAGCCCGAGCCTTCCAACGTACACACACCATTTGCATGTTTCCACTAGATACGCCACTGTCGCCACACATTCCCGTCCAAAGTAAATGCTAAGTCAGCCTGCTTACAAATCTCCCTTATCATCATCCCTCCTCCCTCTCCTCCCTCCCTTCATCCCCCTGTCAGCTCATCCTTACCCATATCTCCTCCCTCTTAATTACTTGTTGGATGGCGGTAGTGTTTCTGCTGTGTTTCTGCTGCTTTGGTTATTACAGGACCCTGTATGGGAGAGGAGAGGCTGCCAGATGTCCCGACCAAAAGCCAAGCTGCTCAGGGCACAGCGCTGCTACTCACCTGGGGCAAATGAGGGCATCTATTCCTGCTGGGTTTAAAGCCTCCTCTCCCCTCAGGAGCCAGCCTGATGTTGAAGAGGGCCTGCAAAGCACACTGGGCTGCCTGGGTCTTGGCCAGCTTCTTGCTGCGTCCGGAGCCCTCGAATATCCTCCCTTCCACGCGGACTGCCATGATGAAGCTCCGCGCCCGCCGCCCCTCTGTCCTCTCAGACAGGCACACGTACCTCAGGCCTGGACGCAGCTCGTTGAGCAGCACCACGGGGGTCTTGGGGGCCTCGGCTGGGATAGCCACAGGGACCCCTGCCAACCGCTGCTTGGCCTGCACCATTAGGTCCAACGTGTGGCGAAGTAATCGGCCGTGCCGGAGGGCGCTGGAGAGGCGCAGCTCGCTCTTCTCCGACGCCGACCGGTAGAGGGAGAAGCTGTCGCCGACTACGCCGCCACACGACGACGGCTCAAACTCCTTGAACAGAGTGTCTGGGAAGTCTGCCGCCTGGTCCGAGGTAAAGTCTGCAGAGGGGTTGCTGTGGTTACCCATGGCCAGGTGAGCCTGAGGAGCGTTGGGGAACTGAATGAAGGACTTGAGGGCCAGCTCGGCCGCTCTCATCTTGGCCTTCTTCTTGGTGGGGCCCGTGCCCTCGAAGGTGAGGCCGTTCACCTCTACGGCAATTGAGAAAAGGGGTGCGTGGACGGGGCCGGTCTGGGACACCATGCAGTACTGGAGGCCCGGCCTCAGCTCGTTCAGCTGCACCAGGGCATTCTTTGGTGAGTCCGACCACAACAGTTTCTTGTAGATCAGACGGAGTTTGCACAGGTGTCCGTTATTGTCCTCCTCCAATGGTCGCTTCCTCTTCAGACCGGAAGTCCCGCCCCTAGATGTGTCCGATCTGAACGTTGATTGGCGGTCGCCCGGGACAATGGAACAGCAGTCCTCTAGGTTACCGATATTTCGGTTCTCTTTGACCTCAGCGCTGCTGGTGCCTGGCAACGACAAGAAAAGGAAACAAAACAATTGAGAGAAATAAAACCATTGTTCAGAACAATAAATGCAGACATAACTGTGTGGCGCTCCACAGTCACTATATCTCAGTGTGCAATAGAATGAGACTCAGAAAGCAAAGCTCCCGGGGCAGATTTAGTCACTTGATACACAATGAAAGGGTAATGAACAAATCTACCAGCGTCCCCCATCGACAGTCCCCAAAGTTCATAGCGAGGGAGGCTATCTTATTTAAGTGTTCTAAAATTCAAATCCAAATCCCCTCAAATGGGGCATTATCTGCCAAATCATTCTGTAATCTGCTGCAAAATTGGTTCTGTGACTCTGTGGTTTAAGTGGGAGAGTATTTGTTACTGTACCCAATGCAAAGCAGCAATCTATTTTGTAATGGGGGGATTGTATTGTATTGAAAGTTACACACATTGGGGGATGAAAGAAAAAAGCTATCTGCCTTATTTCACACTTCTATTCTCCATGAGGACAAAGTTGGAGCAGCTGTGCTATCATGCTCTGCTCTTCAAACCTAGTTACAGGGATAAAGTAGCATATTGCATTTCTGAAAAATGTGCACAAATTTGAGTTTCAAAACCAGAAAATTGACAGATAGATCACTTTCATATCTAGTCTACAGTACACTGACAGGATTGATACATGTATTTACAGTATGTGGAAGCAGTACTACTGTAATTGTCCAAGACAAATTTCTCCTTGGGATCAATACAGTATATCATAGGCTATCATATCATATCAGCAGTGGCTGTGCATCCAGTATGTTGGGAGGAATATACTGAGGTGTGACTTACTTAAAGTGTCCTCATCCTCTGTGCTGGTGGTCCCAGGGCTCATGTACTTGAAGGGAGCAATCAATGCAGAGAGCATGCTGACTTTCTCTGTGAACAGAGAGGAAAGAGACAGAGACAGACAAACACACCATGACTGCTACTGTGGTATGAAACAGTGTTACTGATACAATAACATGTAATAACTCTCTACCTACACACTGAGTATGGCTGGTCTATCCTGTCTTTCTCAGTCATTTTCTCCTCCTCCTCTTTCTGCTTAGAGAGTAGTGATCTAACTATTGATCATTAAGAGATATTAGGTGTTGGAGAAGTGAGGACGTGAGGAACTGGTTTCTAATTAAAGTGTTTTGACTGGCCTGTCGATGTATGCTCAGCCTGGGCTGGAAGCACCAGACCCAGCTGTGATGGACTCTAATAGGGTGTTACACTGTAAACAACACGCACACCTGGAGGCAGGAACACCAGGGGGACCTCTAGGGAGACAACCTGAGTCCATTTTATTTAAAGGGATGGCACAGCAGCCCACATGTTAGTGTACCCATCCCCTTTAATTACAATAGACCACTGTTTCCCAATCCATTGCTTGTACTCCTTCCCTCCCTCCCTCCCTCCCTCCCTCCCTTCCTCCCTGTTGAACAACACTGAAGGGTTTGATGATTCACAATGACACACATGGCTGCTCTCTAAGAGCTGTGGACAGATCTGCCGTATCCCAGTGGGGTGAAATTACAATACAACACTCTGCATTGTGACCTAATTGCAGTGTAACTAACACCAGCAAAATGCAGCTGTTAGTCTGTCTGTCCATTAGAGAAACCAGCAGCAGAAGGTCTCAACATACACTGACTAGTTTCTAGATAACATTTCAAATCAATCTATATGTCGTTAGCTATGCCTCTAGAGGGCAAATTGTTTCTACCTATTTAATTCATGTTGCAGTGTTTTCTCTCAAAGGGCAAAATTAGATCCTGACATGGCCGAGTTCTAATTATTTCCTATATACATTTAGATCTAAATTAGCCAACACACCATCTAACACTGTAGCTGTTAAAGTGTTTCTGAGACGTCTTCCGACCGTGAAACTTAAAGACAAACGTCCATACAAAAGTGTAAAACGCAGTACAGAATATGAGGAGGGCAATTAACACATGCCGGCATAAGTTTCCACATGGGCCGCAGAAGTCTTTCATGTATTTTTTTATCATTGTGTTGTGCCTTAGGTTCTGCAACACCCACTTAACTCAACAACCTCTGCCAAGTGTTGACTTTCACTGGGCTGTAAGGGGCTAGAGAGAGAAAGACAGAGCCAACACACTGATATGTATGTCATCATCAACCTGATGACTAACAAAGAGATGGAACTCATTCAGGACAGGTTTACAGTAAATGATGGCCTCAGATCTTAGATCTAGTTAGGTATGGCACAGTAGTAAAGAAAAACAAGTGTTAACATACTGTAGGTAATGCTCAGGTAAACTGATCAGATATTAAGGCATTCATTCATACAGTAAGGATAGAGAATCTGATAGAGATGGATTTTGGCGCTGGGGATTGTGGAAGAGAACAACCTACACCCTGTAAAATAGGGATTTACCTGCTGTACAATACAGCTCTTATTAAAACCAGGTTTGGCAAGTTTGGCAAGCGAAGTGTGTGTGTTTATGCATGCATGTGTGTCTGTGTGTGTGTGTGTGTGTGTGTGTGTGTGTGTGTGTGTGTGTGTGTAAATTCACAGTGAGCAGATGATAAGGGCCCTGTCTACTTCATCCTTTCTTTTCCTGGTTCAGAGCAGAGGGAGGGTAATGAGCCAATCACATTTCCCTGTGGTTCCGTCCACATAACGGATGGGTCAGATGAGCGACGGGAGACATTAGAAATAGGCGCTGAGGGAAATCATTGACTGGCTCTCTCGCCCCTTCCCTCTCTCCCACCTCCCTCCCTCTCTCTCTCCATCTCTGTCTGTCTCGCGGGCCACAGATTAAACAGCTCTGAACTGGTAAATGAGAGCGGCTGCATTGTCTCAGTGAGCTGCCGGCCACACTTAAAATCTGATTTCTGTCCGATGGCTCAGCTGATCGCTAAGCAGCTGATCACTAGCTGCATAAACAAACAGCCTGTGTGTGTGTGTATGTATGTGTGTGTGTGTGTGTGTGTACGCACGTGTGTGTGTGTGTGTGTGTGTGTGTGCGTGCGTGCGTGCGTGCGCATGTGAGTAAGTGACTCAGTATGTACACACATAAATCCACTGGCTTACATAAAAACCAACACATATCTTTTACAGCCAAGATTCATGACTGCATTTAACTGCTGTATTGGAGCTAGGTCTCAGGTTGGGTCCAAATGGCACCCTATTCCCTATATAGGGCACTGCATTTGAGCAGGACCAATAGGATTATGGTCAAAAGTAGTACACTATAAAAGGGAATAGGGTGCCATTTGGGATGCAACCCTTATACTACTTCACCCAATGCCTTTCTATATTTGCTCATCTCTTGTTTGTACAGTGCTTCAGATGCGGATCATACCAACAATCTCAAGTGTTGTCATAAGCTGTCATGATAGGCTGTGCCAAACATTATAGGATTCATTAAAGGACTATGTAGACATATTGACAGCCAAGGTGGGAATAGCAAGGTGGGAATAGTGTCTTTGTGTGTGCGTGTGTGTGTGTGTGTGTGTATGCCAGTGTTTGGGGTAGCAGTCGGATGGATATTTAGCACCTGATTAGTGCCACAGACTACAGAGGAGCCAGGCCATCTGCTTTACATGTGTTCTCCTGGACCATGCCAAGGACAGGGCTCTAGGAGACAACCCAACCCAGAGACACAGCCCACAACCAGACCTGGCCTTCTACCCCACCACCAGCCCCCAGCCTTAGCACCAGCCCCAGCCACTGCCCCAGTCCAACCCCCCACTCCCCAGCGCCAACCCAAGCCAAGCTCCAGCCATGCCCAGTTCAGTCCAGTATTTGGACCATCCAGTTAACCAATCGTATGGCATGATGCTTGATTGAATTAGTTTAATCTTATCAGCTTCATGCTCATTCACATTGGGCAAAACTCAGAGAAGGAAGGCAAGGCCATGGCTGGACTCTTTGTGTTTGTGTGAAATGAGGGTCAGCTAACCTAATGATCCTTTGGATCGTCATTGAGCCATATGTTTCCTCACAAGACTCTAGAGTTGTAATCTATAATCTTCAAATCTTGAAACCGATACAGTCAGGCTCTAAAAAGAAAGCTATTTACAAAAACAATACTGCACATCGATGGAAAGGCTCTTGAATCCAAAGTATTTTTATTATAGAGGAGGAATGTGAGGCCAGCCTAGCAATGCAAAGCCACGAGGGCATAGAGAGAATATCAAAGCCGTGCTTGAACTGAACTGAAGTGGGCACTCGTTATTACACACCATTGTGACTACGGATGGAAATGCAGAAAAAAACCCACTGTCAATGAATCATTGATAGTGAGGAGAGGAAAAATTCAATAACACTTCTTCTTCCATTATGGCTTTTAGACAGAGAGATACATAGCACCCACTCACTCTCACACACTCTCAAAAATGGACTTGTGGATGAGTATCATTGAAGGACCTGCTCAGTGTCTGTGCTGAAGCTAGGGCAGAAGGACCTACAGATTAAGTCGGAAGTTTACATACACCTTAGCCAAATACATTTAAACTCAGTTTTTCACAATTCCTGACATTTAATCCTAGTAAAAATTCCCTGTTTTAGGTCAGTTAGGATCACCACTTTATTTTAAGAATGTGAAATGTCAGAATAATAGTAGAGAGAATGATTTATTTCAGCTTTTATTTCTTTCATCACATTCCCAGTGGGTCAGAAGTTTACATACACTCAATTAGTATTTGGTAGCATTGCCTTTAAATTGTTTAACTTGGGTCAAACGTTTTGGGTAGCATTCCACAAGCTTCCCACAATAAGTTGGGTGAATCTTGGCCCATTCCTCCTGACAGAGCTGGTGTAACTGAGTCAGGTTTGTAGACCTCCTTGCTCGCACACGCTTTTTCAATTCTGCCCACACATTTTCTATAGGATTGAGGTCAGGGCTTTGTGATGGCCACTCCAATACCTTGACTTTGTTGTCCTTAAGCCATTTTGCCACAACTTTGGAAGTATGCTTGGGGTCATTGTCCATTTGGAAGACCCATTTGTGACCAAGCTTTAACTTCCTGATGTCTTGAGATGTTGCTTCAATATATCCACATAATTTTCCTTCCTCATAAAGCCATCTATTTTGTGAAGTGCCACAATCTATCTGCAATATTAAAGCTGAAAAAGTTGTTCGATGGGGTTTAGGTCAGGGCTCTGTGCACCAGTCCCTCCTGCAGCAAAGCATCCCCATAGCATGATGCTGCCACCCCCGTGCTTCATGTTTGGGATGGTGTTGTTCGGCTTGCAAGTCACCCCCTTTTTCCTCCAAACATAACGATGGACATTATGGCCAAAAAGTTCTATTTTTGTTTAATCAGACCAAAAAGTACGATCTTTGTCCCCATGTGCAGTTGCAAACCGTAGTCTGGCTTTTTTATGGCGGTTTTGGAGCAGTGGCTTCTTCCTTGCTGAGCGGCCTTTCAGGTTATGTTGATATAGGACTCGTTTTACTGCGGATATAGATACTTTTGTACCTGTTTCCTTCAGCATCTTCACAAGGTCCTTTGCTGTTGTTCTGGGATTGATTTGCACTTTTCGCACCAAGGTACGTTCATTTCTATGACAGAACACGTCTCCTTCCTGAGCGATATGACGGCTGCATGGTCCCATGGTGTTTATACTTGCGTACTATTGTTTGTACAGATTAACGTGGTACCTTCAGGCGTTTGGAAATTGCTCCCAAGGATGAACCAGACTTTTTTCTGAGGTCTTGGCTGATTTCTTTTGATTTTCCCATGATGTCAAGCAAAGAGGCACTGAGTTTGAAGGTAGGCCTTGAAATACATCCACAGGTACACCTCCAATTGACTCATATTATGTCAATTAGCTTATCAGAAGCTTCTAAAGTCATGACATAATTTTCTGGAATTTTCCAAGCTGTTTAAAGGCACAGTCAACTTAGTGTATGTAAACT